TCTAGTTTCATCATCTGTGACGTGGCAATGAAGTCAGCAAGAGCAACCTGACATTGGATCAGACGTGATGCAAGGAGGGAAGCCAGCACTGGTGGGCGGGGGGGGCGGGGGGGAACAGCTCTGTTTGTCAGGATACAAATGGGCCCATGATCAGAGCAGTCGCCCACTAGAGGGGGTCCAGAAACACTGAGGACTATGACCTTGGCCCTCTGCCGGCAAATGCGCCCGCCCAGTGCTGTAGCGCTTCACTTGAGCAAAAACAGGGCGAGGTTGTTTTCAACGGAAGCGACAGGATCATGACCGGATTCCTGACGCCAACCCTGACTGAATGAAGTCAATCAGTTACCTAGAAAGCCTCGCACCCAGTGACATACGCAGAGCGGTAACCGGTAATAGAGAAAGTCTCAGAGCATCTTAAATCAAATGCACATCCATTCTTGGGCTTCGGTTTCACCCCTCCCAGATCAAAATTGAGGGCAAAGTTGAGTCCCCCCCCCCACTCACAACATCTGTGAATCTTGAAGGGACACCAGAGAAAGCTTGGACGACACAGGGAGAAGAAAGGACCGTCGTCCACTTGTCTCTTAATAATATGAAGGGTAACCCAGGGAAGTCTTGTGCCCCCCCGAGGGCCATGCGGAGACCGGGGGGGGGCCCTTGGAAGCCACTTCACAGCCCATGGCATGGAGCTGGCAGAACCGAAGCGAAGCTAAGAAAAGGGTTTGCTCCTTTCTCACGTCCGAGAGGCGGCAGAGGGTTCAATGGCTCCCCCCCACCCATCAGACCTCCAGAAAGAGGCCCCTCTTTCTTCACTGCAAGAAGCATTGAGCCATCAGCTCAGCATTTTCTCTGAAGCAGCCTCCCTTCTCACAAAAACTCTTCTCTTCACACACACACACACACAGAGAAAGGCACTTTACAGCCCCCTTCGCTTGAGCATGGACTGGGAGGGTGGGGATTGGAAGGTTGCCCCCCCCTCCAGCTCTAAACTCATGGTGGTCTTCAGAGGTTCTTGAAATCATGGCCTGCACAGCTAGCGATGGAGGCTTCTGGGAGTTGTAGTCCCAGAACATCTGGAGACCCACAGCTGGGAACCGTGGGTCTACCGCCTCTCCCTAAACGGATGCACCCTTCCGGCCATGGTGTAGTGCAGTGGTTCTTAACCTTTGTTACTCAGATGCTTTTGAACTGCAACTCCCAGAAACCCCAGTCAGCACAGTTGGTGGTGAAGGCTTCTGGGAGTTGCAGTCCAAAACTCCTGAGTAACCCAAGGTTAAGAATCAGTGGTGTAGTGGAATCAGGTCTCACAGGGTTGATGCTTTGGGACTTTCTGACTAAAGGGACTACACCCCGTCGGCCACCCCCTTCAGGCCCACCCATCTGCTCTCTGCTTAGCTGCCGTCCTCTCAGGAGTAGGGAGGGAAACAGATCTTCCCTGGAAAGAATACATTGTTGCAAGCTCTCTCTGTTGCAATGCATTAAGTGCAATGCTTTGATCTCAGATGAGCAATTAAGAGCCCTTCAGATTGCCAAAGACCTGCTCTCCGGTTGCTGACATGCACCCTGTAGGCCTGAACAGGGTGTGTGTGTGTGTTAGGTCTGTCGTGATGAGTACCTAAGCTTCCAAACTGGTACACCCTTTGCTCCAGATGTTCTGGACTACAATCCCCATGATTCCCCGGGCAACATTGCCACGGTCTGGTCTGACACAGGAGGATGGGGCCTGACTGGAAAGGGCAGAGCATCTCTTTACCAAGAAGAGAGAAAGTGAGCAGGATCAAGCCCAGTCTCGTCCACCCACCCCGTCCCTCGGGGTGTCTGCAGAGGAGCTCCGGATTTACCGGATTTACCCTTTGCACATGCTCAGAGGCTTTCCGGGTGGTTTTGGCTGGGCTCGGATTAAACCTCCCTGCTCCCGTCTCAAGACGGTGTTTCCCGACCTGTTGACTCTTCATGTTTTCCACCACAAATCCACTTTGGCCCCCAGTACGAAAGGACAGGACGTCTCCTCTCCTGGCCCTCCTCCAGCCCTGATGCTCTGCGGTCACCACCGGGGTCACGGTCACTGTTCCGTACCCTGCGCCTGTTCCGTACCCTGCGCCTGTGTTTGCCAAGGCAGCAGACCAAGGATCAGGCCCAGGGCGGAGAGGGAGGGGCCAGGATCGTCCTCTTGGGAGGATGCTCTCAGCCGGTCCCATTAATGGTTTGCTCAAGTGCCCGGGTGCAAAGGAGTTTGGCCCCTGGCAGGTTAACCGGTGACTTATTGCCCCCCATTTCAGCTCTAGTTTGCGCTGGTTCTCCTTGCATAAGATCCGGAGCTTATAAAGACTGGGGGGGAGAGTCTCATTCCTGGCAAAGCTGGCTCATCTCCCTCGTTTGCTGTCCTGGGGCCGCAAGGATGAAGGTGGTGAACCTGGTGAGTGACTCCCTTCTGCCCGAGGCCAGCTCCTCTGGAGAAGATGGTGGGGGGCAAATTTGGGAAGGAGGTGATGATGGTCCAGGGCCCCCAGGAGGCAAGAGTCACACCCAGAGAGAAGAGGAGGCAAAGAGCCATACCTGGCCCGGAGGGATTTGGGCAGATCAAATCAGCCTAGTCCCGGCAGATCTGAGGATGATGCCCCCCCCCTTTGTGGAAAACAGAGCTAGACCAAGCAAAACTGCCGTCTTAATCTAGGAGCATTTTTCCAACCTTGCCTAACCCTCCAACCCCCTGGAAGGGGGAAGGCTAGAATAAACGGGGTGAACGTGTATCTCAATTTCAGAGTTTGGGGGTCCTTTTTAGAATCCTTCTTCCATGGATCCTTGCATGTCTTTTCAAAGTGGAAGAGGGCTCAAGACTGGCAGACAGAACACCATGGATTTTGCACCTGCTTCTTGAATGGTGGGAATAAAGAACATGGCCGTATTCTAGTTAAAAATGACCCTGCCAATCATAAGTACAGTTACTACCCTGTTTCCCCAAAAATAAGACCTAACCTGAAAATGGACAGCGGGGTTTCACTGAACTAGGGTTTACTTTGGGAGTAGGGCTTCTGTGATGAGCATCCTGAAAAATCCTACTAGGGCTTATTTTCAGGTTAGGGCTTATTTCCGGGGAAACAGGGTAGATTGCTCCAGAAACAACCAGCGAAATAGTGTGTTTCCATTGCAATGCATGGCTTTTTATTTTACTTCATGAAGGAAGTGCCCGGCTAGTGGTAGACTTCACCAGGTTGTTCCTCCAGGAGCTGTCTCTCATGGATCCACTTTTCCACAGGAATTCGATCCTTCTGAGATTTACCGGCCAGGCGTCGAGGTGGAGAATGGAAAGGCAAAGGAAGAGTACAGGAATTTCAAGGTGAGTGGAGAGGAAAGAGGCTGCCCTTCCACCGAGGAGAAGGGCCCCGGTTTCCAAACGGCTCTGGAGGGGGGGTCACCTGTCATGGGGTGGGTGGCCTCTGCCTTCCGATTTCCCTCTGGGTTGAGGTTCATCTCCTTCCTTCATGCCAGTCACGGGGACCGCCCTGCTTTCTGCAGAATCACCTTGGTGCTCACCTCATTCACACAACGGCATGAGAGAGAACACCATCTCAGCCCAGGGCCAAGTTCATCATGGCGCTCGTTGGCCCCTCTGTTCCAGACCTGGTCCCGTACAGAGGCAGCCAACGTTCCCCCCCTGCGCGCACCAACGCGTCCGACGCGGGCTCTGGAGAGTTAAAAGCGCCATCATTACATCTGGCGGGTTCAGAGAGGAAGAGGGACGTGTGGGCTCTGACCAGCATCGTCTTTTTTTCAGGAGGGGCCGCTGATGGAGCGAGTCTACAACACCTACCTCCTGATGCACACCCACCAGACCACGGAGTTTGTGCGGAAGAAGGTGAGTCTCCCAGAACAGGCACTTCTGCTGTCTCTTGGCTAAGATTCTCTTTGTTTGCTTGTTTGTTTAAAATGTTTTTGTTTTGTTTTTCCCCTGCCTTTCTCCTTAAAAAGGATCGAAGGTGGATTCCCTTATTTAAAGATAATGCTCA